CCCCACGGACGGCGCCCGCGAGGAGGCGGCGCCGGGGCCCTGCACGCCCCGGCTATGTCGGGGCCCAACGCGTCCTGGTGGGCGGTGGGCAACGAGTCCGGCTGTCCTGGCTGCGGCGCCAACGCCTCGGACGGCCCGGCCCCCGCGGATCGGACGGGGGGCGCCCTGGTGGGGGCAAAAAAGGCCGCTGCTCTCCGCGGCCCTGCTCCTGGTGGGCCTGGCCGGGAACTCGCTCGTCCTCTACGTCATCTGCCGCCACAAGCAGATGCGGACGGTCACCAATTTCTACATCGGTGAGTGCGCGCGGGCGCGCTCCTGCCCGCGCCTCCCAGGGCGCCACCTAGTGGTAGGGCCCTCCAGACCAGGCCTCTCCTTGCCGGCTCCACTCTCAACCGGACCCCGGACGCCGGCGCGTGGACCCGGACCTTGGCGAGGCTCGCACACTGCAGCGTCCGCGACCTCCTGCGGGCCGGAGGGGCTGGAAGGGAGGTCGCGGGGCGCGGCAGGAAACCCGGGCCCCGGGGGCCGACAGCAGTGCGGTTCTAGGACCCCAAGTCCGGATAAGCAAGGGCGCAGGAGCTGGCGCGGCCGCAGGGGCCAGTCTGCGACCTCCGCCGGTGGCTCTCCTCGGTTGTGCAGCATGCGTGGGGGCTTGCAGGCCAGCCCCCAGAGTCAGGCCGACACCCCGTCTCCAATCGGCGGGTGAAGAACCCGAGGCTTGGAGGGCCTGGCCCGGGCAGGCGCTCTCAGCCCGGACGGCCGGCAGGCCCATGCTGCCCGAAAGGCTCCAGTGCTGGGGGGATGGTGCCCCAGGATCTGCGCGAGGACGTCGGCGGCCCTGGGGGGTCAGTCCGACTCCGACAAGGGCGAGGGCTGGGCCAAGCGCGCTGAGCGGTTTCCGTGGCCATGAGCCCCGCGCCCCTCCCGCGCAGCCAACCTGGCGGCCACGGACGTGACCTTCCTGCTGTGCTGCGTGCCCTTTACCGCCCTGCTCTACCCGCTGCCCGCCTGGGTGCTCGGCGACTTCATGTGCAAGTTCGTCAACTACATCCAGCAGGTGCACGCGCGGGCGTGGCGGGCGGCGCCTGTACCGGCTGGAGGCGTCTGGGTGGCAGGGCTGCACGGAGAGTGGACCATGGGGGGAAGAGAAGGGGCCCCGGATCGTGGGGTGCTGTGGCTGGGGGGGGGCGGGAGGGCCACGGTGCCCTGTGGCTTCTAGCCCTACTGTCCCGTTACCCCAGGATGGCGCTGCTTCCGTGTCTCCATCTCAGGAAATCAGCGACACCCCACCCCCTGTCCCCCGCCCTCTCATTTCCCCCACCGCTCCTGCGCTCCTCTCCCGGTCCTCTCCTGCCATCTCCACGGTGAAACCCCTACAAACACATGGCGGGACTGGCAGGGCCGTGGAGGGGGCGGGCGTCATCCTGGCAGGGGCCGCACGCCAGGCGCGGTGTTTTCAGGTCTCCGTGCAGGCCACGTGTGCCACCCTGACTGCCATGAGCGTGGACCGCTGGTACGTGACGGTGTTCCCGCTGCGCGTG